CTCTAAGTGATCTTTCAAAGCGTTGATAGTAAAGCAAGGGTGCTGCTGCCAGAGTTTTTATTACAACTTGGTTTTCTCGGACTACGAAAACGTCTTTTATTATTGTCTTTGAAGGGGTTTTGATTTTTGCACCGTACTTCCGCGAGTCAAAAAAATTTGTAAATTTCTGTAGAACATGGAATTTTGTTTATATTCTATTCTGATTTCAGCATATATTGTATTTTTCCCAAAAACCCCTTTCAATTTATACTTGGAATTTTGTACGCAGTTCATTTGTCTAAGGGCGCTCGGAATTACTTGATACTGACCCTGAGTTTCACTGGATGGGAACGGGGTGAAATGTCATAATATTTTTGAAATATGCCATTATTTTTTGGTTTATTAATAGATACTGAGAGCGATAAGCATGTGGAAAAATCAAACTCTTGCTTCATGTAAGTTAACCTAGAAACTACTCACAGAATACTCCTAATTAACACCGGGACCGAAGAGGCCTTTCTAAGACCTGTAATCTTTGTATGGACCAAGGAGCTTCCTGATGCGCCACTCATCCTTGAAAAAACATCGAATTTACCCCGCATCATGAACTTATTTCGTTTTTGGCTAATGCCGTTGCCGAAAATTTATCTTTTAAATCCAACGAGGCCTTACTTTACTGGTGTCAGTTTCTTTCCCAGTTTTCCCTAGAGGTAATTGCCGACTTTGTCACTAAAAAATGGATGACCCCCTGTACAAAAAGCTCAATAAGCAACTCCTTCCGTATTTCTTTGCCCACTAGTACTTTACCTTTGGACTGAGCCAAACAAAGCATCTGAAATTGAGTTTATTTGCCTCTTGCTTTTATCACAACCTTTTCCAATCTTGCTATAAGAATTTAGAAGCCTGAAGCTTCGATTCGAAATCCAAATTTGTTGAAAGAGTGGTCGCACAGCAAAACAATGGGGAGCATTGATGTAAACAATCTAAACAAAGAATGCAATATAAGTGAAACAACTTTGAAATACATAAAAATTTGCGGAAGGCGGAGATTACTCAACTGAATAAAAATTTGTTCCTTTAAATGCTTTTACAGATGTCCGGTATACCCGCCAAAATATGCATGGGAAACAATGACTACTCGAAAATGTCAAATAATGGAAATAACTGAAAGTTCAAGTTGGTTTTTTTGAAAGAAAAGATAGAGCGAAGTTCGAGAATATGCCTAAAATCCCTACGCTATTAGTTGATGAAGAAATACTGTATTGTTGGAGAAATCATTCAGCGAAATGCCTAACAGAAATTTGTAGGAATTACTTACGGTTAAACACCTAACTTTGCCTTGAAGCCAGTGTAATCTCTAATGAAAGATGAGTTCCAAACAACCAAGGAGCAAGGTTTGGTCGACAATCAATCAGAACCCTCTCCTAATCAAAAGCTTAACAAGTAACGCTACTGGGAACTAGTAAAGAAGTACAAGATTAGATGATATAGAGATCTTTGGAATTCAAAGAAACATAAAGGAAAAATAACGCGCATGGAAATAAAAATTATAAAAATGCCTCATGGAACAGAAATGCAAATGAGTTGTTAAATACTTTCAAAACACAACAATCAAAATTACATTTTTGTACGGAAGAAAGCATGTGATTTTCATAAGACACTAGGCCAACTCAAAAACTTCATTGTTCAAAGACGCTCGAGCAAATATCACCTCAGCGTAACGGGTAAGAAAACACACTCTAGGAATATAGAAATCTCATCAACGTTTACAACAGTGGAAAACCTAACAATGCTTGTAAAGAAGAAGTAAAATTTATAACACCAATCCATAACTAACTTCCTCTTACTGCTAAAAAAGTAGTAGTTGCGAAACAAAGAATGAAGGAACAACAATTACAGCATTAGTGAGTGAACTACTACGCAAGGCGTTACATAAATCAGTATTACTTCGATAAGTCAAGTTTTTCATCTTGTTCGGCTAAAAACTTCTCAGCCCAGAGTACTGGCTCGTCATTTGCACTTATACTGTTTGCTGCCCATATGTTCAACGAATCTTGGAAGAGGCTCCCAGAATAGCCCAAAGGATCGTTTAAGAAACCCTCACACAGCTCATTGGTCAGTGGATCAGGCGGGTAGGTTGGTGCTGGTGGAGGAGAGAGCGGTTCTGTTTGTGTCGAAGAAACAGGACTAGTGTGGAATGGAGGTGAAGAAGAAGGTAATGATGATGTGGACGCTAACAACGTGGCATCGTAATGGACGTTCGGCTCTAAAAATCTTATAACACCATAATTATGGCTTTCTACAAGTGATGTGCTACAAGCGCTAAGATGACAAAATCGCAAAAGCACAAAGAACCCTTCACGACATCATTCAAAAACTTCTGTCAGCAACAAAAAAGAAATATTAGCAAACTCACCAGATGTATACTGCGGCTGGTTATTATAAACGAAAGGTTGTGCCTTCGGGTTCAATCTGAATTTTAAAACGGATTCCTTAACATCAGTTACAGGAGGCACTTCACTGACTTCAGTCACACACGGCGGCCACTTTGAAGAGAAGCTCTCCGCTTCTTCGCTGATATACAATTCGTCCAAAACTGGGAACTTCAGGTTTATGCCTGGCCAACTTTCTTCTAAACAAATTTCGCGAACATGAATAAGCTGTGGTTAGATTTCAAAAGTTTTAACTCCAGCTCGACTCCAACCTGAGAGCATCCCCTTCTTCTTCCGATGTTTCTCTTCCCTTTGCCTGCGTTCCTTCTGAAGTTCTTCCATAAATGAGATTGATCTATCCGTTTTTTCCACCCCTTCATGAGAGTACCTGTGAGTATGGCGCGGAGGAAAAGAGTCAAACTTGTTACCAGCGAATTCTTCCAGTGATGACAACGAAGTACTTCTCGAGGACGCTAAAAAATTTATGTTCTTGTCAAATGGTCACTAGACTCACGGTTTAAGAAACTCTTAGCTGCTTAATCTGAAGTGAAATGAAAACGATAAACCTTAAGTTCTGCCTTCTCCCATTAAAAAAAGAAATTAACCATTTACCATGACCAGTTTTGGCATTTCCATAAACGTTCTTCTTCCTAAGGTTCCGTTTTGTTGTCGTCTGAGTTGATCGGCGGGACGCTGTTGGAGGTGCAGCATCAGAAACTTTCACTTCATTTTCAAAGCAAGTGGTGTCATTGTAAAGAGCGTCATAATCTTCATCAACATTGCCTTCTAAAACTGTTGTTCCAAATGTAAAAGGTGAAAGAAAGTGATATTTTCACCAAAGACTTTCAATAAAGTGGAAAACAAGCAGAATCTATCATTTTTACCATCTACAGAGGTAAAAGTATCCCACTCTGGTGCAGTACTGTTGTCGCTCAAAGCAGCTTCTGATCTGAAAAACAAAAAAATTACCATATACAGTAAGGAAATAAAAATTAGCTGTCAGATCTAGGAAACTGATCCCTCTAACTGTTTGGCAAAATCACAACTGAAATTAATGTTAAAATCCGCTGCTGCCGCCGCCGCTTTAATAATAATAATGATAATAATAATACTAATAAATATAATAACAACAATAATCACAGTGAAAAAGTCACCTCGCTTCAAACCTCAAATCAGGATTTTCCGAGTTCATAACCAACCAATCATGTGTCCTCGTATCTCGGTTTTCGCTGATACGATAGTGAGGTCCAAAGCGATGATCATGATTACCCACCCTGCTCATTATTGCACTAGCATTCTCCCCTTCAGCTTTATAACTATTCTTACCACTATAATTGGTCTCAGCAGGTACAATGTGCTCGTGTTCTCCTCTTGATGTATCAGGCACACTAGTTTTTGCAGAAACCTTTGGTGAAGCTTCATGAGTATGTGTATTGTCATTCTCATTGAAAAGTTTTACGCCACCTATAAAGCAAAATAAAAGAAAATCTTAAATTTATAATTTTTACATTCTTAGGACAGCACTTACATTTCACGCCTACAGTTCTAACGAATCATAAAATGTTTGCAAAACCTCCGCCACACCTAATAATATTAAAACTAAAAAAACCAACTCTGTTTAAGATGTCCACGTTTCGGGCGAGATTTCTCACTCCGTTCATAATTCAGAACCCTTTGCTTTCTTTTATCCTTTTCATTGGCTAAATAGACCGGAGCAGGAGATGCTCTGGAAACATCAGAACCAGATTCTGAAACCCGTTGCTTTTCAACATTTAAAGAAGTTTCTACTGGAGGAGAATTTCTGTAACGCTGGCCATTGATTACGAGACCATCAGACGTCTTGTTACGGACAAGAAGTTGATGCCCAGGTGCAGGACGAATTAGAGGAGAACAGTTGTTAGTCACCTAAATAAGCGTTATCAATTTAAAAAAAGATCTAATGTGCCTAGATATCACTTTAATAACATTCACCGGCACTTTCACTCAAA